TATAAAAAAAATAAAAATTTATTTATATAAAATATGATGACTCTTTGTGATATTAAAATTCTTAAAATAACTAATGTAGTAAGTATATGTGGCTAACACCAATTTTAAAATAATTTAAATAAAAAAATACAGCACATCCTCACATAAATTCTTTCATAAAACCACTTAAGTTTCACATGATGCAAAGGAACTCAGAAAAGAAGTAATTACAAATGCTTCATGCAATGCATTAATTGAATGCTTAGTTTAATTGTAAATAATTTATTTAGCCAATAAAGTAAGTACATTAGTTTTGTGAAAGGAGGTCCTCTTGGCCTCCACTCTTAGAGCCAACAAATCCTATAAAATGATCTACAAACCACACAATCTTTCTTCACCTCCAACCTAACAATGAAAATACTACTACTGATCATCCTACTCCTTCCCCTCCTCTCCCACACTTCCACCACCGCCGACACCCAAACCTCCAACAACTACGCTACCTTTCCAATTAAGGAGAGGCATATCAAAATTCATTTCTTCTGGCACAACAAGTTTGGCGAGCCAAATCCCACGGCTGTGTCAGTCGCTCGAAACCCCATAGCTAATGCCTCTTCCACCGGCTTCGGACTCGTGATTGTATTCGACGATCCGATAACCATCGGGCCAAAGGAATCGTCTCACTTATTAGGTCGGTCCCAAGGCACGTATATATTGTCAGACCAAAACAAGATTGCCTCCCTCATGGCAATGACCTTTGTATTTGCCCAAGGGGAATTCAGAGGATGCACGCTCTCAGTCTTGGGACGCAATGAGTTGTCATTAAAAGTGCGTGAATTGCCTATTGTTGGTGGGACAGGATTGCTCCGCTCTGCTCGAGGATATTGCTTACTCCGCAACTTCAATGAAGATAAAGCGTCTCATTATGTCGTAGTTGAATACAATTGCGACGTCTTCTACAAACCTCATTTTCAAAGCACCACCGATTACCTATTTACTTACTAGCTTAAATAAAGCGCTCTATGCTCTTATATATATAAGGAATGTATTTCTATCTTAAATATGGTTGCTATCTTAATCAAAATATTAATAATATATGGTATTATATATATAAATCTTTGTTATATTAC